GAAAAGCAAGTTATTTTCTTTCTAGTTTCCAATCCTTACTTAACAGTAAGCCATCACCATGACTACCACAGAGACCCTGGGGTCACAGTAAAAACACTGCATGCCACTCAATTCTATCCATACTTACTCAAATCTCATTGACCCCTGACCATTAGGTCCAGTCGCAGACAACTCTGGGGTTGCGGCACTCATCTCGCTTTATTGGCCAAGGGAGCCGGCGTACAGCTTCCGGGTCATGTGGCCAGCATGACTAAGCTGCTTCTGGCTAACCAGAACAGCGCACGGAAATGCCATTTCCCGCTGGAGTGGTACCTATTTATCTATTTGCACTTTGACGTGCGTTCAAACTGCTAGGTGGGCAGGAGCAGGGACCAAGCAATGGGAGCTCACCCCATTGCAGGGATTCAAACCGCTGACCTGCTGATCAGCAAGCCCTAGGCTCTGTGGTTTAGACCACAGTGCCACCCGCTCCCTAGTAAATCTGCATAGGACTGCGGTGCTGGGTAGTAAATTTTGGGAAGGAATGAAAGTTTAAAAGGTACAAGAATTCAGGGATGTCCACTTCAATTGAATAGTGATAGGTTGATGTGAACCAAAATAAGCTTATATCTTCAAACAATGCATGATCATTTTCAAAAAATTAACATTGACTTTTGAGTAAACATGCATGGGATTGGAGTGCACATCAAAACCATTAGCCATGATCCCTAAATGGAACCTCCATCTTTATAGGAATATGTGTGTAAAAATTATTGATTTAGACCAACAATTGATTTTCAGCATCAACCAATCATATGTCTGTGTAGTTTGCATGCAGAACATGAAGAGGATGCCATTCCCAGTTACTTATTCCTAGCATTTGGTAAATGAACTGCATTCTGTTAAATCCTGGTGTTCCTTGGAAACTGATCAAGTGTTCCTTTATTCTTGCATTGCAGGGGGTTGGACTAGATGACCCTCAGGATTCCTCTCAACTCTACAGTTCTATGCTTCTATGAGAAGATCTGTAGTGGACAGTTTGTTTACACACCACTACTGATCTAAAATCTGGATTTGTAGGGAGTGTTGAGTGTGTTTTAGGGTAAGATTAGCAGATTTTTTTTCAATGAATCTGGGGGACACTTTTCAACTTCAATGGATTTTGTATGGGGACTGATTTGTAAATCCGGGGACCTTCCCCAGGAAACGGGGACGTCTGGTAACCTTATCTTAGGGTGCACTTTCAATGAAAAATTGGGAGATTTTGTAAGGCACAGGATTCATTGGCAGACAAGAAAATCAGTCAAAGTCTGCTGTGTTTAGATTGTGAAGTATTGTAGTTAGTTGCCAAATTGTTTTGCATATCCGGGAGTCCATCAGCTGGAGGAAAAAAGAGCCAGGCATGGGAAATATGCTGGAAAAAGACTCTGCAACAGTTGAAGGCTGCAGCCATAGATGAAGAAGCACTCCTTTTAGCAGAAGTACAGAAACAGTAGCCCTCCAGAGGTTGGAGTCAGCATAGCAAACAGACAAGGATGATGCATGTTATGTATTGAAGTTCTCACCCTGGCCACCAGGGGTATTGTGTATATAGTTTTCACTCAGGTCCACGTCAGTTACTTTAGGCGGGAAACCCTGGGTTGTTGTTGCTACAATGTTGACAGCTGGCTGCCTGTAAAAGCAGGCCGCTGAGCTGTTTGCTGTTCAGTTCTGTTCTGGCCTGTGAATAAACAAGAGCTGTTTGAAGAATCGCTGTGTCGTCTGATATGTTCATCCACAACTTAACACCCACAACTTAACAATGCAGTAAAGTGATATGTAGAGGGTCGCAGGTTCCCAAATCACATTTTATATACTAGCCTATGTGTACCCACGAAAGATAAAGTACAGGTGAAATACAAATGTGGAAGCCCATGCTGGAAGGAAATGATTTGAAAGGGAACCATCCACAAGCAGGAGCAATGTTTGCAGAGAAATCCTTTGTAGGCTTCTTGGTCTCATTTGAACTAACACAGCCCAATGTTAGAATGTTGGACCACGCATTCCTCCTCACCACTATGAGCTGAATAAAGACCAGGAAATTAAAAAAAAATGAAGAAGAAGAAGGTTGGACCACGACAAAGGGGACTAAAAGTTCAAATCCCAACTCAGTCATGAAACTTAGTGAGTTGTCCTGGGCCATTTACATAAAATGGGGGGGGGCATGTGCATCACCTTGAAGAAAAAGCAGGATGTGAATGTAATTAGAGCAACAGAGAGGGAGAGGTCTTCCAGTGGCAGCAAACAGGAAGCCCACAGCTTATAGGAGAAAAATAGAGGAATCCAACTCTTAGTATTTGAAGTCTTTACCAGTAAAAGTACCTAGGATGATGGACAGAAATGAGGGTTATACGGAAAAGCTTTGCTAATCTAATAGGATATAGCCTCAGATGTGACCAGCCTTACAACCATAGTTTGGACCATAGTGCTAAGCAGATACTGTTCCAATAAGTGAGCAGCAAAAGAAATAAAAAGAAAGAAAGAATAAGAATTTGATCAGAATGTCCATTTCATATTCATGGGAAATGTTTCTCCAGACCCTTTGCTAAGCAGCAGGAATCTCTACAGACCTGGGATTTTACTCAGCTTTAGGACAAAGAGAAGCACAGCTCAAGAGGGATTAACTTTTATGATTATTTAGGAAAGATAATATCTTCTAAAAGGTTCTATCTGCTATAGTCTTCTATTTATTTAGGTGTGCTACTGGAAAAGATGAATGGTACAAAGCAGAATTGTCTCAAGTATGCCAAATCATCTAAAATGTGGAAGAGGGAGCTGGATGGGAGCGGTGGCAGCTTGGTGAAGAAAAACTTTATAACTTGTTTGTGAGGACTATGAAGCTGCAAGCCTGAAAGGAATGTTATCTTCATGCAAAACAGCATGTACCTGGAAGGGGGACAATGCCTCTGGATAAAGAGGCAAGCATCACCTTTTGTCCTGCTAATATAGAAAGTCTGACTGAAGGGAAACCATTTATTGGTGATGGGGAAATACCTTTGTAATACGTGGATTACTTACCCAGTGAATGCTCTTGTGTGCTTCATTCTTAAATCTTTAAATTTAATTGTAAATCTTTTTAGGAGTCTTTTCCTTAGGAAAATTGGAGCCAGTCATTTTGGCTATCATAGCAACTTATTTCAGCATAGTTGCAAATGTTTTCTGTGAGGGCAAACTGCTGTGAATTTGACTGGCCTGATCACTGAATAGCCAGCATCTTTGACAAAAGAGTCCTAATGTTTCTTAATGACTGTGGATATTTCCTGAATGGGCAATTCATCTGAATGAATGAGGCACAGACCTGTGCCCTGGAGAGAAGGGTATGAGAAACAGCAGTTTTGCATTTGAAATAGGCAAAGAAAGAAAGTGAGCTGAGATCTAGATGAAAAATAAGCTCTCTAGTAACACAAGGGGTGCAGCATTCCCCATCACTGTTTTGAGTCTGGGCACAATCTTACAACCTGTTTACAATGGAATATCTTAATAATAATTATCTATTTACAGTGTGCATGTTCCTCAATCTGAAGAACCATAGCAGACTCCATATATATATGAGATTAGACAGTATGGCATCCGAAGTATGTAGCTTCCAGACTGATTTGAGCAGCATCAACACTCAGGATTCTGCTATGGACATCAGAGTTCAGCCTTCCAGGATCTACTATTTTATTTTTATTTTTACTAAAACCATGAGAGGCACCATCCAGAACTTGGTACAACAGTCATATACTAACAGTGCCATTCTAGCCATGTCTACTCACAAGTAACTCCTACTGAATTCAGTGTGGCTTAATCCCAGGTTAAGTGGGGCTAGGACTGTAGCAATATAATTAAAAAACTGAGCACAGGAATTTTAGTACCAGAACTGAATAGAGCTCACAACTCTTTCACATAGAAATCCACCCCTGCTTACCCCAAGCTACCTTCATTTCAGCAGTAAAACGGCGGAAGGGGGAGTCATTCATTTGCTACTGTTGCTAAATAACGGAGTCAGAAATCCTCAGGGATCAACTGCAAATCACCCAGAAATCTGTCAGTAAATACAAATCTACTTTCTCCCCACCCCAGTGGCGTAGCGTGGGGGGTGCAGGGGAGGCCGGCCGCACCGGGCGCAACATCTGGGGTTAGGGCAAATCCACGGGTTAGGGGGCGCAAATCCACGGGTTAGGGGGCGCAAATTACTTGCCTTGCCCCGGGTGCTGACAACCCACGCTACGCCACTGCCCCATCCCTGCTATATACACTTGCCTGGTGGTAAGTCCCATTGACCTTAACAACACTTACTTCTGAGTAGATATGTCTAGGAGTGCAACCAAGATTGAATTTCTGCGTGTTCATCAGCCATAAAAGACCCAGAGCTTTTGACTGAGAAAAAGATAGTATGCCTAATTAGGGATTGGGGAGAAAATTTATATTATTGTTATTTGGGCACATGCTTCTGAATTAAATCATATTTCAAACAGCTTGTCGATGCTGCCAAGGAGGTTTCCGCCAGCAAAGAACCAGAACATCCCTCCTCTGCAGCTGTCTAGTCAGTGTGCATGGGGCTCAGTGTTGGTGGGTTTTTTTGACAACTTACAGAAAGTGGGGTTTTGTTTTGTTTCTTCTTACAGCACACTTATGTTAAGGTGATTAGAAAAAGTCTCTAAAAATTCCCTTCTCCCCCTTCTGCTAGACCTTCCTGCCCTCCCTTTTAGTAAAAGCGAACCTTGGGCCTGAGGGCATGAAGTGTGCGTGTGAGAAAGTGCGCGCATATTGCTTTGGAACTGGAAAGCACTTCACGCAAGCAATGCAATGCAGCCGCTATGTGTACGATATATATAGGAACAAGAAACACAGCGCATTTCAAACTGCTCCCCGTGCATTTGTTTCCTGATGTTTCCCCATGCTCGCTTTCTTAAGCACCCTCTCCTACGAGAGCACCGCAATGCAAGAACACGTAGGAACGGACCGACACAGAGAAATCCGCCTGTGCGCGTTGCCGCCAAATCAGTCAGTGCGACAGAGGCGCTGGAGAGGGAGAAGGCCTGTGAAGCTCCAGCGTCTCCATGGCAACCGCTAAGGAAACAGCATGGCGACTGAGGACAAGGAAGCCGCTGCAGCGGGTAAGGGCAAAGCCTCCGGGAGGCTGAGGAAAAGCAGCTGGCTGATTCTCTCGGCCTTTATCCCCGGTGCTACCCTTAGGCTGCGTCTTGTGGAGTAGTAGTGAAGCCCAGAGAACACAGGTTGGGCGGGCGGGTCGGAGCCCCCTGGGTCCACGCGCACACCTGCCTCCCTCCCTCCCTCCCTGCAAGATGGCACGTTCATCTCCAACATGGCAGAAGAATTCAGCAGGATGCCTTTTGAGAGCGGCCCCAAAATGGGGTGTTGCAGAACTGCCTGAATGCGAAACTTGCTCCACATCCCGCGCTGGAAATATTAGCCAGCTGACTTCACACTGTCAGACTCAAGTCAGACGCAATTTCTTCAGCTCTTTAACTGCTTGACGCACATATTTCCCATATTTCACAGAATCATAAAAGTTTGAAGGGACCTCGCCACAAGGTCATCTTATCCAACCCATGGCAACCCAGGAATCTTTTCCCCAACACGGGCACAACTGTGAGATTAAGAGTCTCATGCCCTCCCAACTGAGCTATCCCATATAGTTTTATTTTGCATAACGAAATCATCAGTATTAAAAATATAATGTAATTTTTATAAGCAGGGCACAATTCAGTTTGCTGGGGAAACCCAGTCAGATGGGGTGGGGCATAAATAATAAATATTATTACTTATGTTAGCGGCGTTACACATTAATTCACATTTATCTGTACAGTCATAAAGGTAAAGGTAAAGGTACCCCTGCCCGTACGGGCCAGTCTTGACAGACTCTAGGGTTGTGCGCCCATCTCACTTAAGAGGCCGGGGGCCAGCGCTGTCCGGAGACACTTTCCGGGTCACGTGGCCAGCGTGACAAGCTGCATCTGGCGAGCCAGCGCAGCACACGGAATGCCGTTTACCTTCCCACCAGTAAGCGGTCCCTATTTATCTACTTGCACCCAGGGGTGCTTTCGAACTGCTAGGTTGGCAGGCGCTGGGACCGAACAACGGGAGCGCACCCCGCCGCGGGGATTCGAACCGCCGACCTTTCAATCAGCAAGCCCTAGGCGCTGAGGCTTTTACCCACAGCGCCACCCGCGTCCCATATCTGTACAGTCATACTTCGGGATAAATGTGCTTCAAGTTAAGTATTTTCGGGTTGTGCTCCACGGCGACTCGGAAGTAACGGAGCGTGTTACTTCCAGGTTTCACCGTGCACACATGCACAGACGGTCAAAATGACATTACACGCTTGCGCGGAAGCGGCGAGATGCGACGCGCGGACGCAGGTTGCGTTCGCTTCAGGATGCGAATGGGGCTCCAAAACGGATCCCGTTCGCATCCCGAGGCACCACTGTATGCAATAAATAGATGCCCTTTTTGGACAGTCGTGTCACATATTACATTTCTCCAGGGCTGAAAGTAGCTACATGTTTTGCCCAGCATAACAACAGTGCATTCCTATACGCCCCAGCTGCAACAAAACATGTCTCTCCCATATCAGTCTCTACAGCCACAGGAGGTGCTGTAACTCTCCAGTGGTTTGACTTCACCCTCAAAGGTGCACTCTTCCATTTTCTCCTGAGACAGATACCCACCTAAATCTACATTAGCATGTGTGACTTGGTGGGCTATAAATTCTTTTTTGTCAGTTAGTAAGTTTAGTGGGCATATTTGTATAGCAAAAATAAAATACACTGGGTTAGGCTATGGGCGTAGCCAGGCTGAATGTTGCGGAGGGGAGTGCAGGACCTCAGTTAAGTACGGTACTTTTATTGATTTACTTGATTGGGGGGGGGGGGAGCTGCCCCCTGCCCCCCCTTGGCCAAGCCTAACTTGGGTTAGGCTCAAGTTGTAAATCCCATTGATTTATATAAGATTTAAATTTAAGTGCTTAATTGCCATTTATTTAAAAGGTATATAAACATGCATACATAATCTTCTCTAAATTCCCTATCTGAAATAGGTGCCCTATACAGCTGATTAACAGAGTGTGTGCATGGTAGTGATTCACCTTGTATGGTGTTATAACTTCTTAGCTGAAAACTTTAAATATTAGGAGGCTGGGAAATTTCCACACTTCTCCCCAGCAATTATTTAATATTTCTGAAGACTTCAGGAATGATCTAGTCTTTTGTTGGATATTGCCGATAAAATAGCTGAACACAAGAAAGATAAAAGCTTTTCTTCCTCAAAGAGGAAGAGTTTATATAAATTGATTTGATGACTGGTTCTCAGAAATGTGGTAAACAGCATTTCCCTAAAAGCTCACTTTCAGAATTATATGATACACAAGTCTTGGTCCTACTTTTTATTCTGTGAACCGATGCTCCTGTATAAATTAGAAATTTCAGTAGATGTTCTTTGTCTCTCTCTGAGCAATAACAGGCACAGTATTGACTAATAATTAATCTTCAGGGTATTGTCATGCACAGTTTCCAAGAGCTCTCAAGGTTAAAGCATCTCTTGAGTCTTATTACCTTGAAATATTCTTTGTATGTCATTTTGATCAAGGTTTTGATATACAAAACATTTCGTCTACAATAATCTCCTTGAACTCAGCGAGACTGCTGATAAGTTAGTACTCTTTTAATTGTGGAGATATTCTCATAGACATATGATGAATGGGCTCAACCATGAGCCATTTCATCAGTTGTCATGTTTATTATGCTCTCAGTTGCAATGTTTAAGCCAATGACTATTATTAGGCATATAACATACTTTTTTTTTTTTTTTACTTCAGAAAGGTAAAATGGCTTTTGTGACATGTAAAGTAAGGTTTCTCTAACTAGGGTTGCCATATTTTGAAGAGCAAAAAAGAGGACACATTTGCGGACTTCTACTTTTAACAATGGGGACGCGGGTGGCGCTGTGGGTTAAACCACAGAGCCTAGGACTTGCTGATCAGAAGGTTGGCGGTTCAAATCCCTGCGACGGGGTGAGCTCCCGTTGCTTGGTCCCTGCTCCTGCCAACCCAGCAGTTCGAAAGCACATCAAAGTGCAAGTAGATAAATAGGTACCGCTCCGGCGGGAAGATAAACAGCATTTCTGTGCGCTGCTCTGGTTCGCCAGAAGCGGCTTAGTCATGCTTGCCACATGACCCTGGAAGCTGTACGCCAGCTCCCTCGGCCAATAAAGCGAGATGAGCACCGCAACCCCCAGAGTTGGCCATGACTGGACCTAATGGTCAGGGGTCTCTTTATCTTTACCTTACTTTTAACAATGGATCGCTATGACGACTCTCATTTTACATACCCATGAAAAAGAGGATGTGTCCTGGAAAAAGAGGACATATGGTGACTTGCCCCTGTTGATAGTGCACAAGCAGTATCAGTCCATGGTGTAGAATCTTGAATTAGGTCACAAAGTTGTCTTATGAATATTGCTAGGCATGGCTATATCCTTGCATCCAATACTGCATTTATTTGTCTTGTTGGTTACTGGCAGAAATACCCCAAAGTACATATATTTGCTTCCATGGGTGGTCCATTTTGATCAAATGAAATTGCATTTGCAAGTAAAAGTAGTGCAAGTTTTTTGCAGTTCATACATTCTTTTTAGTTCGGACCAAAATCATGTATTCCTAACTATTCTCATGTTAGCTCTGCTGAGTTTAGTAGCAGTTCCTTCACTGTAAGTGTGCTTATGAATGCTTTGGGATCATTTCTTTGCCTCAAGAGCCCAGTGCACCATGGAAACAGGAGTTGCTCCACCTCAAGAGGTTGCTGTGCTGTGAAGACAGGAGTAAATTAAGAAATCTGAGTCCTGAGCTGTTGGGAATGCTGTTCCACAGAACAGAGGCAACCACACTAAAAGCCCTACTCTGAGATACGGTACTGCAGAGCGGTTTCTGAGAGGGTATGAAACTTGCAGGAGAAACTCTCCCAAGGATTGCAGTGATCTGCTGAGGGTATAAGGCCATCTCTCAAGTAACCTGATCCTGAGCTGTATAGGGTCTTATAGGCTAGTGCCAACACCTTGAACTTGGCCCAGTAGCAAATCAGCAGCCAATGCAAATCCTACAAGCAGAGTGTAGTTTGTGCCCGAATGAACCTACTGTAGCCACTGCTGCAGCCTCTGGACCAACACCAAGAGTTGGCCCACATAGAGTGAATTTACTATGCTATGAGCACCCTGTGATCCCCGAAAGCATATGCTACAATGCATTTGCTAAATTTGAAAGCTGCCACAAGATTCTTTGTTGGTTTTGCTGCAACAGATGGACATGGCTACCATTCTGGAAGTCCTTATTCTGCAAATTAACATGGAAGAAGAATGCAACATGGTCTGTCACATTTCAGAGTTAAGTTAGATTCCCTCCCCCCCTCATCAGCTGTCTGGTTTCTTCTCTTTACCAGTTGGGGTACTGTCATTGTTATTATCCAAGCTAGACAATGTTTCCATGCACTCTGGCACTCGTCATGGTGTCCCATTGCGCCAGAAGCGGTTTAGTCCTGCTGGCCACATGACCTGGAAAACTAACTGTGGACAAACACTGGCACCCTCAGCCTGAAGCATCCAGGAGTCCTTTACCTTTTTACCTTATGCAAGGGAATAGCATCAAAACTACTGGGTACTGTTGAGAGCAGTCAGAAAAGCCGATCTGAAAATTCCTGCCTTCCCTATCCTCAAAGAGATGGAACCAATATAACTTACTAAGAGTCACCTAAAATTTCCCAAATATCTGGGACCATTGCTGATAATTCACATAGGTGGCAACCCCAATAAAATATTAATGCAGTTTGCATAGTTTATACCATGACAAATAATCACGTTAAATTAAAACTCATTATAAAGCTACCATTTAATTATCAAGTTTAAAATGCTGTGAATAAAAGGTCTATAGTTCTAGAAGTAAGTATGAATAATTTCACCGCTTACTATCAAGCTAAAAAACCACACACATCGTAGCCAAAAAATAAATAAATTAAGAAAAAATGTATATAGAATATACAATGTTCTTTATTGCAAGGAAATGAACAAATAAGAAATGTATAAACACTACTATTAAATTCTTAGGCCAGTTCTAATATGCTGTGTTACAGTATTAGTCAAATGCAGTATTAGCCAAATGCATCTTAATCAGTATTCTAGTGTATTCTCAAAAACACAACTGTTCAACAGGCTTTGACTTCTAGCATATAACCACTTAAAGAAAATGGACAAAACACTCCAAACCTTCCTTGTACAAAGATGTCCTCAATCAGCAGTAAGGGTGCAATCCTAACCCCACTTACCTGAATTCAAGTTCCACTGAATTCAACAAGACCTGCTTCTGAGTAGACATCATTAGCATGGTGCTGTAAATTATCCTTCACTGTAACTTGCAATAGAGTAGCTAGTGCTAGTACTACTCAGAACAGATCCATTAACATTAATAGACATGGCTAACTTAGGTTCATTAATTTCACCGGGTCTCTTCTGAGTAGAACTTAGTTGGGTACAATCCAGTGTCAACCTATCCTGGTTAATTAGTATATTCAGCACCCTCGTCATGAAAATTTATTTATATCAAAATCTTCAGTAAGTATGCATGCAGATCTTTTATGCCTTTAGACCTAAAATGCCTTTTAATAAATGAATAAATAGCTGGTGTGTAGGTAACTGGATGTGGTCTGTGGTGTGACAGACGCCAGTTGCCATGGTTTGATCTGAATCAGCTATGGGGATGTGCTATTTCCACTGTGAGGAAGGCTCCCATTACTACTAATGGGAGCTTGCCTTCCACTGCAAATAGCTAATGGAGCGGGGGACGGACTCTGGTTCTGCTTGGGACTGTGGCGGGGCAAATGTTTAAAACCCCCAAACATCAATGCCCAGATTTTTTATTTTTTTAAAAATCATGCTTTCCAGGGTTAGAGATGTGAAAATGCATTTAGTTTAGCCCTAAGATGACTAGGATGAGGGAGGCAACATCTCTCCGAAATGTCATTACCAATTGGAGTTTTTCAGAAATGATTAAAGGGACAGATTCAAAGAAAGCGGATTGAGAAATTTCAATTACATTTCACCGACTTTCTGTTTTACTTGATATACTGCCTTCACACAAAGGAAATTGTTTTCAGAGCAGCTCACAACACACAAAGTAAACAAACAAAACTTATAAATAATATGTTTTGCTAAATGCCTTATCTGATAAAGAATTACAGAGAACTCAGAAGATTCCTCACTGTTTTATGACACTTTGGTTGGTTATAAGAAAGATCTTGTCATACTGTGGACAAGAGAAATTATATATATATAACACATTCATTATTGTTTCATTTTGCAGAGTCTGCAATAACTGAAATCCATAAGAAGATCACTGAGGCTTTTGAGGTGTTTGACCATGAGTGTAATAAAACTGTGGATGTCAGGTCAGAACTATTACAATGTAACAGTGTTTTAGAGTGCAAGAAACCAGAGTTGGTGTATATTGGTATGCAGTGGAACCAATATTCAGGTTAAGAACTTAATTCATTCTGGAGGTCCGTTCTTAAGCTGAAACTGTTCTTAACCTGAGGTACCACTTTAGCTAATGGGGCCTCCCGCTGTCTCCGCGCCGCCGCTGTGCGATTTCTGTTCTTATCCTGAAGCAAAGTTCTTAATCCGAGGTACTATTTTTGGGTTAGCGGAATCTGTAACCGGAAGCATCTGTAACCTGAAGCGCCTGAGGTACCACTGTACATTTGCCCCAGGGCTTGTGAATTAGCCTCACTCTTTTTGAGGCAGCAGCAGCTGCCATTGACACTGCCTTGCCAGCACTCCGGGGAAGCTCCCAAACTATACAGTGGCTTTTAGGGGGCAATGAGTGGATGGAGGTGGGAACTAGGCAGCTGGTAGTTTCCCTTTGCCTTATCTGAAGGACTCTTGGAATACTTCTGGCACCAGCACAAACTTAAAGGCATTTGTAAGGTGTTTTGGAGGCAAGGATGACAAAACTGTATAGGATGCCTTTTTAGCTATTTCAGTTTCTAGAAAGGTTAGCCACAGCAAAAGCTACAGCATTAGAGTCTTGTGGTACCTTAAAGATGAAAATAATATTTATTATGGCATTATAATAAATAGCTCATAAATTGCCAAAAGACTCTTAGACTATTTTTTAGCAGTTGTCTCCTACAACAGCAACTTAATTGGGTTATAGCATCATCCTGTAGAATTGTTTTGTTTCTATGCAGACATGCAAAGTGGGAAAAAGATTACTGTATCTTCTTTAAATTTTCTTTCAAGGATATGCATGCCCAAAATCTTGCAACACTTTCTCAATAAGCACAGTTCAATTTTTTTTTATTAAAGAGAGCTGCTGGTACATGTTTAATTAGCCACTAGGCTTGTATCTTTGGTCTCAAGAGCACCGACTAAATTTGAAGTAATTTTAGGTATCTAGTCACTGTAGAATGGGAGGTATTGGTTTGTTACTATGTTATGCATTTTTGTGTTTTTATATTGTAAACCACCCTGGGATCATTGGATGAAGGGTGGTATAGAAATTTAATAAACAAACAAACAAACAATAAACAGACAAACACATGGACAAGCAAACAAAATATGTTCATGCAAGGGAAGTTTCCTGTCCTCTTCTTCCTCCTGCAGCTGTCTGTGCCCCCTAAAAATCCTCTCTGGAGGATCAGGAGTCAGAACTTGTCATGAACTGGTTGGACACAGAAGAATGGTGGGAGGAGCCAGCTGGGAAACCACCAGGGGAAGAAGGCGCAGAGCCCAGGGAGTGGTGGTGGGACAACAATGAGTGATTAGAGGGAAAAGAGAAGGTGTCAGAAGCTGAAGAGGTAACGGCTTAGTGAGCTGGGAGAGACTGTGGCAGAGAGAAGTCCAGAATCAGAGGCAGAAGCTAAAGCAGGTGAGTGGGAGAAGGGAGGTCAAGAAACAGAGATGAGTCAGGCTGGTGATGAGTCACTGGTGTCTCTTCTGTTGAGACAAGCTCCCCTCCCCACTGACTCCTAGAGCCAGAAAAGGCATGAAGCAGGAGGAGCAGATGCAGACAAGGAGGTGCAGTCTCTGATTGCTTGGGAAAAGCCTGGAGAAAAGGGGACATAGATGGCTGAGGGGAGGCAGGGACCTTTAGTCTAGACAACTGATTTCATGGGGTAAGGCCTACCGAACTACTGCACTCATTAGGCCTGACACAAATCCAAGTCTGTAAAGATCATGTTTTTGATAATAAAGCGTTAACTCCAATGTCGAATGGTGTGATATTCTGGCCAGCTTCTAAGCAATGTAAGTAGGGTATGTTTAGGTAGGGTATGGGGAGCTGTTGGGTAAAAGAGGAATTTGCCCACAACTGTAGCTGCTAAAGATTTGTTTTGCACTGCAGATTTATTAACAAATATATTCTTTCTTTCAGGGAGATTGGTACAATCATTAGGTCATTAGGATGCTGCCCAAGTGAAGGGGATCTACATGATATGATTGCAGAGGTACTGTGTTTTTTAAGTTCTATCATTTTATACAGGAAATCTGATCTCTCTTCCTAAATTAACAAAAGTTTAAAATACCATACGGAGGAACTGCCTTTATACCCATACCTAAAGTGCATCATTTGTGCACAGTTCAGAGTCCTCCATGAGTGTGAGAGCTAAAAGACTGAAGGAGGGAACCTTACCTGTGGTGGAAACCCTTGCAAGAATTAAAATTCTGCAGGGACAGGACTTAGCTCTGCACCCTCACTCTCCTTGCACCTTTGTTTATACCTGACAAGACCAAATGCCCAGATAGGGCTAATGACTTTAACCTCAGGACTGTCTAATCAAATCCCCCCTTTGTAATAAATACCAGTTTTCAGGAAATACTCAACTGTGAAATTGATGAAGTAAAATAATGGCTTGGTAATGCTACAGGCTACTGTATAAAAAATGAATGCAGTCAATAGGTCTTAGAAGTATAACTTTACTTTTGTGGATAAAGCACTTTTGTAACAATTCCTTAACTAGAGGTCTATTCTACACATTGTCACTAGACTTCCTCTGTTCTGTTCTTTTCTGATCTTGACTATGAATGGTATCCTGTTCCTCATGGATGGTTTCCTTCTTCCAAGAGAAATAACTGCTTCAGTGTAAACAATTTCATATAATAACATTTTATTCTTTCAAAAATTCTGTTTCGAAGGAGCAGTGTTTTGCACAAATGTGCTGTTACCACTAGAGGACAATGTTGAGTTACTGAAAATGCCCACTGTTGCTTGTCTTGTGTAGTCTTGGGAGTATTATGATAATGAACAAATTGGATGTCAACAAACAATATGTTTAAAACAACAAGCTTTAACCTATATAATTGTTAGAATCATCTTAGTATCCTTGTTAGAATCTTAATTTTCATCATCATCATCACTTTTAATTTGTATACCGTATTTCTATTTTACAATACCCAAAGTGATTTACAAGCTGAAGAAACATAGAAGGTACACCTTATAACAATCTAATCCAATACAAAAATGTGATAATAAAACATAACTTTAAAATGAGCAACTTATATCAAATAAAGTAATATTCAACAATCCATTAGAATAGTATAGAATAATATTAAATATCAGCATATAAAAATTAAACAGAAATCCGCTCTTAACAATTGTAAGAAAAAGATTCTAAACTATAATCAATAAAACAACAGCAAGTCACAGTGCATAAAATAATATAATACAAATTGAGAAGCAGAGACTGGAGGGTGGGGCAAGGCAGGTGGAAGAAGGCCAGGCAGTAATAAGAACACATCCTATTAATGCTCAGTTATTCTCCCAGCATGTTTTCAAACTGAGATAGGATTGTCTGCCAATACAAAGTGTATTTAGCGTATTTTATTTAGTGTATTTTATTGAGTCATTATATTTTGCTATATAAAATTTCTATTTAAGAATCTGTTCTGGTATAATGTGGAGACCAATCTCCCATGACTTTCCTAAGATAGAAAAGCAAAGTGGCATCAGATAGCTTTCTGCACTGTAACATATCACTGGTGTCAGCTGACCCAGGTATTAGGTAAGTGCAATCTATCTATAACTGGCCTCTCATAGTATACCGTAATTTGTGCTAACGTGTGTGGGAATGTTCTGGGGTGCAGGAGAGGATATATTGACTAATTATATCCTTGTCCAACTTGTGCTAACAAGTTCCCAAAATATCAGCAGAGTTTATAAACATTCCCCTTTTAGTGCGCAACGGTAACGTGTGCACAGGTTCGCTAGAACCTCTATAATAATTACCCTGGTAATTTCCCCTTTAGTTCCCTCTTAAAATACAAGACACGACACAGTCTTCATAAAAGTATAAAAGAGTTTACTCACGTCCTGTTCACAATGTGATCCCAGAAGGCACAGCTTAAAAAGGTTACATAGATTTAGAATCTATCTCATAGCAAGATAGGCCTTATCTCCTCTCTTGGCTGGGAGCCAAGAGGGCATCCTTAGGTGTTTCCTCGTCGAAGGAAAATGGCAGAGAGAGAGAGATGGCTGCCTGCCCTGTGCTTTGGTCATCACCTGCACAGGTGAGGCCACACCCACCTCTGGTCACATGTGGAGGAAGTCCGTCCCCAGGAAGTTTACCTGCTTGCTGGACAGACATCCCCCCCATGTTCTAAACATGTACACTCTAGGAATGTTGTCATTGACTGCTCTCTTGGTTTACATCCCACATACCCCTTCTCAGACAATACAACATATACAAAATATAAACAACTTTATTCAACCACCCAGAGTCCCAGCTTGACACGTAGATTCTGGAAACTCTCTCTTGGTAGGGGTTTCGTCAGGATGTCAGCAGTCATTTCTTGGGTGCTGCAGTAGGATAGTTCCACAAGTCCATCCTGGATCATCTGGCGTATGTAGTGGTATTTAACCCCAATGTGTTTTGTTCTGGCCAGGAACTTCTCACTCTGCGTCAGCTTCAGGCAACTCTGATTGTCCTCTAGCAAGCTGACAGGCCCTTTTCTCACCAACCCAAAGTCCTTTATGAGTTGATCAAGCCAGGCGATCTCTCTGCAGGCTTCTGTTGCTGCAACGTATTCTGATTCTGTGGAAGATAATGCTACACAGCTCTGTTTATAACTGCCCCACGCGACAGGTCCATCACCAAACATAAAAACATGACCACTTGTTGATTTATAGTCAGCATTATCCCCAGCCCAATCAGCATCTGTATACCCAACCAACTTAGGGTCTTTGACAGCTGGTAACCTTAATTTACAATTCATGGTACCCTTCAAATATCGCACCACCCTCTTTACACCTGCCCAATCATGCTCAGTGGGAGAATTCACTTTTCTGCTAAGAATCCCCACAGCATTAGCTAAGTCAGGTCTACATGTGGTAACTAAATACAAAAGTTTACCAATCGCCGACCTGTAGTCATTGTTGTCTGGCAACTGCTTCGAATCCTGCTGATTCTTCAGGAAGTCAGTAGCCATCGGTGTAGCAACTGGATGTGCGTCTTGCATCTGCATGTGCTCAACTAGCTTGTGGATCTTCTGTCTTTGGCTGAGAAGAAATGATCCGTCCTCTTCTCTTTCCACCTGAATCCCGAGGTAATACTGGACATCTCCTAGCTCCTTGACCTCCACCTCCTTGCTAAGGTGTTTTACTATCTGTGTATAGTCTTTCTCACTTGCTGTGGCAATAATCAGGTCATCAACAAATGCTAGGATATATGAGAATTGTCCATTATTTGACTTACTGTACAAGCACTTGTCAGCATCGCCTTGCTTGTACCCAAGTTGCGTCAGCATTTTATGCAACTTCTGGTTCCAGGCTCTAGCAGCCTGTTTAAGTCCATAAAGTCCTTTCTGCAGCTTGCACACTAAATGTGCTTCATGTGGTTTTACAAAACCCTTGGGCTGCTTCATGTAAATTTCCTCTGAAATCTGCCCATGTAGAAAAGCGGTAGCAATGTCAATGTGTTTCACCCTCATTTTCTTGGAGGCTGCAATGCTTAAAAGCATTCTTACGCTGCTGTACCTCACAGTTGGTGCAAAAACTTCATCATAGTCTTCACCAAAACGCTGTGAAAATCCCTGTGCTACAAGTCTAGCTTTGTAGCGCTGCACTTCTCCTTCTGACCCCTTCTTAACCTTGAAAACCCATTTACTGCCAATGGCCTTCTTACCGGGAGGCAGCTCAGTGAGTGTCCAGGTCTTGTTCTGATGCAGTGCATCCATCTCCTCCTGCGCGGCCTTCCTCCAGAGACTGGCTTCTGCAGCTGGCATCTCCTGTATCTCTTCCCAAGTGGAAGGTTCCTGTGGAAACGCCGACCCTGCAAGGTAGGACAACCGTACTGGTGGGACACCTCTGTTGGTTCTGGATGAGCGTCTGACCTCTGGTTCTGCGACCGCATCAGCTTCCTCATCCTCCTCCAACGCAGGCATGTCCCCATCTGAGTCCTCATCTTCGTCTCTGGTGCCGCCAGGGTTCTGGTCCTCTGCGTCTTCTGGTGCATCGCCTGTAGGGGGCGCTGTAACACTCGAAGGCAGATAATTACTTTGTGGGGTCTCAAAAGGGAAATATACAAACTCTTGAGTCCTTTCTGACTCATCTGAAGAATCCACAACAGTGTTCTTAGTGTCTACTTTTCCATATTCATCAAAATAAACCGCATGGTATGCATTTGTCTTACCAGTTTGTAAGTCCATAATTCTGTATCCTTTGCCTCCAGAAGCATATCCCACAAGGATACCTGCTTTTGCCCTGGAGTCAAGCTTGTGTCTGTGTTCCTTGGGCACGTGGAAGTAACACGGACTTCCAAACACACGTATGTGCGACAGATTGGGAGCTTTCCCATGCCAAAGTTCAAATGGTGTGCGCTCTGCACCTTTAGTTGGCAGTCTATTCTGCAAATAGACTGACGTGTATACTCCTTCGGCCCACAGCTTTTGTGGCAAACGTGCATCCTTTAGCATGCACCTTGTCATGTCCATAATGGACCTAAACTTTCTCTCAGCTATGGCATTCTGCTGTGGTGTGTAAGGAATTGTGGTTACGTGTGCAATTCCTTCTCTGGCCAGGAGAGTCTGCACTTCATTTGAGCAGTACTCACCTCCATTGTCACTCATTAACACAGCTGGAGCTCTCTGGAATTTGTTCTTGACCATGGCAATGTATTCCTGGAGCTTGTCCACTGTCTCACTCTTCTCTTTGAGGAAATATACAACACAAAATCTTGAAAAGTCATCCAGAAATATTAAAATATATCTATTCTTTCCCAGTGAGGGAACATTCATGGGTCCACATATGTCAGTGTGCACTATGCCAAGCACTTTGTTGCTTCTTTGTTCTGCACAACGTGGAAATGAAGGTTTTACAGCCTTCTCAGTAATACAGCTTATGCACTTTGCTGGAGCTTTGTTGCTCTGCTTTACCTGCAAACCTCTTACAAGATTTCTTTTCTGTAGATCCAGAATGAGGCTGGCGTCTTTGTGTCCTAGCCTTCGGTGCCATAAGTCCAGATCTGCTTCATCCTTCTGGCTGGAATGTGCCACTTTTGCAGACTGGTTCTCTGAAAGATCAAGCTCATATACACCATTTATTAGCTTTGCTTGAGCAAACACTTTGCCATTTCTAGTCACTTTACATTCTCCATTTCCAAATGTGACCTGGAAACCTTTCTTGTCCAAAGTGGACACGCTGATTAAGTTGCAACTCAGCTCTGGAACATACAAAACTCTAGAGATTGTGTTCTCAATGCATTCATTGTTTATACTGCATTTCAGGCTCATGGAACCTACACCTTTTGCTTTAACAATGTTGCCATCTGCAATCTCAATTTCAGATCCTTCTACATCATTTATCTCATTAAAATAGTCCTTTTTATATGAAAAATGCGAACTGGCACCTGAATCTAAAATCCATTTGTTACGTTTATTTTCACGATTCTGGACAGCTAAGTTCCTTTCTTGCAGTAACCATGTGCATTCACATTTCCCCTTCTTTTCCCCTTTTGGCTGAAAGGGGTGGGGTTTCTTTGCTTTAGGAGCCCTGCAATTCTTTGCAATGTGTCCTTCTTTGTTACAATTGAAGCAAATCACTTTCTTAGGCATCTCTTTGGACTTTGTACATTGCCTAGATGCATAACTGCTGTCCTTGCTTCTAGCATTTCTCACTGGAGATTCACCTCTATCTCTGCATTCTTCTTTTAAATAACCAATCAAGTCTTTAAATGTCAGACCTTGTCTATGCTCCATCAAACTTACAAATGCACCAAAGCGTGGTCCAAGTGATGATAACAAAAATGCTATCTTTGTATCCTCATCAAAAGCTTTGGGAGTCAGATCAATTCTTTGAATAATCTCAGTAAACTTGTTGATGTGCTCTGTGAATTCCTCTTTTGAATTCATCCTCAATCTGGTTAATTTACACACCAAGTTTCTGAAGCTGTTTATGCTAGATTCTCCATACACACGCTCAATATCTCTTAAGATCTGAGATGCATCATCTGTACTATTTATTAATGATAGCTGCTCATCACGAAGTCCACTCAAAATTATGTGTCTAGCTTCGCTGTTCATGCGTTTCCAAGCACTTATCTTGGCTAAATCTCCCTCAGACGATCCTGTAGGCTGAGGCTCTAAAGCTTCCAAAATGTGCTTATAATCCAAACATGCTATCAAGCGCTGCTTCCAGTGCATGAAATTGTACTCATTCAGCACAGGCAATCCAAGCTTTGCATCACTATCAAAAGCTGCTCTAGCCATCTTAAAATCCAAAATTTGAAAATTCTTCAAAATTTCAAAATTTCTCAAAATTTTAAAATCAAAATCTCAAAAATCTCAAAATACGAAACAATTCTTCACTGCCTTGGGTCACTGTGAACTCTGAGGGAAGGGGGTGGGTTGCTTAATCCCCACTGCACAATGGAACAAAGGACCATGTGCTTACCAGGAAGTTAACTCAGAAAAATACTACTCAACTCAAAATCACAATCCAATGCAATCCTCCAAAAATACGCAGAAATATGCAATACTGGGGCCACTAACCCTTTGTGGGAATGTTCTGGGGTGCAGGAGAGGATATATTGACTAATTATATCCTTGTCCAACTTGTGCTAACAAGTTCCCAAAATATCAGCAGAGTTTATAAACATTCCCCTTTTAGTGCGCAACGGTAACGTGTGCACAGGTTCGCTAGAACCTCTATAATAATTACCCTGGTAATTTCCCCTTTAGTTCCCTCTTAAAATACAAGACACGACACAGTCTTCATAAAAGTATAAAAGAGTTTACTCACGTCCTGTTCACAATGTGATCCCAGAAGGCACAGCTTAAAAAGGTTACATAGATTTAGAATCTATCTCATAGCAAGATAGGCCTTATCTCCTCTCTTGGCTGGGAGCCAAGAGGGCATCCTTAGGTGTTTCCTCGTCGAAGGAAAATGGCAGAGAGAGAGAGATGGCTGCCTGCCCTGTGCTTTTGTCATCACCTGCACAGGTGAGGCCACACCCACCTCTGGTCACATGTGGAGGAAGTCCGTCCCCAGGAAGTTTACCTGCTTGCTGGACAGACATCCCCCCATGTTCTAAACATGTACACTCTAGGAATGTTGTCATTGACTGCTCTCTTGGTTTACATCCCACAACGTGTAGGCTGCCTGCTAATGGTTGCAAATCTAGCGGGAGATGAAATACTGTATTGAGGAACTACAAGCACTATTCCTAAGTTATTTGGGAACGAGGTTGTAATTCAATTGCAGAGTGCATGCTTTGCACACAAAAGATTCAGAGTTCAAGACCTGCCAGGTATAGCTAAGAAAGACCTCATTCTGAAACTCTGGGGAGTTGCTTCTAATCAGCGTAGATAAACCTACGGTCTGACTCTGTATAAATCGGCTTCCTTTGTTCCTATGCTGACATCAGAGAAACCCCAAGCTCCTTTTTTTTAATATTGGTGCAAGGTAGTTTAAAGGGGACGTGTTCCTGGTACATTCTGCAGGCATTCTGCTCCTCCTGTTTTCAACATCCACTGATTCAGACTTTCACCATACACTCCCACTCTGATTATGCCCATGCAATGCATACTCTGGGCCCCGTGTCTGAGCACTCTGCTTTGTGTGAAGGCCAGGCCATCTGTATGTGGCCAGTGTTACAGATCAGCGAGGAAGGAGAGGAATGGGGACTGGTCTGATGTATCCACTCTGCTCTCCACATCTGACTGCCCTCTGCTACAGATGTCCTATTCTCAGCATTAGTCCATGGATTCAATGCATCCATGTGAAGGATAAGATATTTGCCTTTCTTTTATTATTATGTTTGCAAATATCTGCTAGCTTAAACTTGAGAAAACTCATTTTCTTTTCAGTTTGTCTGTATTTCATCTTGCTTATGTATTTTTATTTTTAGGTAGAAGAAGAAGAACCAACTGGGTTTATTCGTTTGGAAAAATTTCTTCCCATGATGACTAGAGTATTGACAGAAAGAAGGTGATTTAAAAAAGGACCTGTTTATATAACTTGAGTCATGCATATATTTATATAGGGTGGGCTATTGGGTTGTTGTTTTTATGTTTATTACATATTTTGTGGTTTTATATCTTGATTTTATTCTGTGAACCACCCTGAGGCCCCCGGGTGTAGGGCGGTATATAAATTCAATTAATAATAATAATAATAATAATAACACACACACATCTAATTTTATTCAAGGTTCTTTTATAAGCTGTACAGACAAAATCTGTTTTAAAGTATAAGCTTCACTGTGAAAAAAATATAATAGATTTGTTTTTAAAACTGGGCATGTCAATTCTACTATTCTTCCACTGTATTGACTTCATTGTGTATGTCTTTCTAGAGACTTTCTCTTAAATAAAATGGTAACAAATTCCATGGGAAGATATGCTGAGAACAAGAATTGGCATGGATAATGACTTTACCTAATTAGGAGTACAAAGTAAGCATCATCATAAGTAATTCATAGACCTCTGCTTAGAGGTCTTTCTCAGAGCCCAGATTGCAACAACAAACAATACTCTTCTTAAAAGAGAAGAGCAAGGCAATGTGCTGCTGCAGCAAAGAGACGGGGGCACAACTGAGATACATAACACCACTAAGTATTTGTTTAATTGAATCATTTCAGGTACCGCCCAATTCCAGAAGATATTCTTTTACGTGCATTTGAGGTCTGTATCAATTAAATTCTACTTATGGAGGAGAATACTACTTAAATCAAGAGAAGGAAGAGTAATATTTTATATTCTATTCTTTTTAGGTTTTAGACCAGAATAAATGTGGACATCTTACTAAAGATGAGCTGGTCAAGTACATGACTGAAGAAGGTATATTTACAAGATGCTTTTGCTGTTCTGAAGTGCAGACTCCACAGCTATATGTGGTCAGCTCCCACCTCTGCCTCTGATAGTGCAGGAACCCGGAAAAGGGCCTCTGAGAAGGGCCCAGGTTTGGAGGGGACCCCAATTTTGGGGGTTCGTAATTAATTTTAGAGGGACGCGGGTGGCGCTGTGGGTAAAACCTCAGCGCCTAGGACTTGCCGATTGCATGGTCGACGGTTCGAATCCCCGTGGCGGGGTGAGCTCCCGTCTTTCGGTCCCAGCTCCTGCCCACCTAGCAGTTCGAAAGCACCCTTAAGTGCAAGTAGATAAATAGGGACCGCTTATAGCGGGAAGGTAAACGGCGTTTCCGTGTGCTGCTCTGGTGCTGGCTTGCCAGAGCAGCTTTGTCACGCTAGCCACGTGACCCGGAAGTGTCTCCGGACAGCGCTGGCCCCTGGCCTCTTAAGTGAGTTGAGCGCACAACCCTAGAGTTGGACACGACTGGCCCGTAAGGCAGGGGTACCTTTACCTTTAGTTAATTTTACTTTCTGAGAATGATCTTAATAATCAGGCAGGTTCATGTGGGAGAAGGTGGCCCTAAAGACGCTTGAATCACTAGCCATTAAAAGTGAAAACCAGCACTTTGAATTGTGCTAAGAAGTTACCAAGTTCATCTGTTATATGATTATGTGTGTATGCAATGAAAGCAAAAGTACCCAGGTCTGTGCTTTTTTCTTGGTGTGATTGAAAAAACGTACGGTAAGTAGCAAGAATGCTTGAGAAGGCTGAGCAGTAAAAAATAAATAAAAACGATAGCCATTTGCAAATATTCCTGTTTTTGCTGCAGGTGAGCCTTTCACTCAAGAAGAAATGGAGGAAATGCTGTCTGCTGCTGTGGATCCAGAAACAAATAATGTTCGCTACAAAGACTACATCTCAATGATGGTTGTGGATGAAAACTAAGGACTTCTTGTGTAACTCATATAGGTCTGAACCTTTTGCTTGGTGCTTGTTGATTAACATCATTGGAGTTGTTCTGTGTTTGCCATGAGATTGCAGCAGAGGCTTATGTTGAAATAATTCATCTATGAAAATATTATCCTTTTATATACTTAGTAAAATACAGAAGTTGTAAAAAGATAGTTTTCAAATGTTGATCAGTTTGGATAAGAAAATAAGAAAACTTCAGATTATGCAGAGGAAGCACGAACCACTGGGTCCAGCAGGATTTATTCCCAGGTAACTAAGTATAGGATCCCAGCCAAAAACTACACTATGAAATATTGTCATTATTATTTATTGAATTCATATACCGTCCTATACCCAGAGGTGTCAGGGCGGTTCATAGAAAACACATACGTACTAGGGAGGAAGTCCCATGAAACATAGCAAAACTCACTTCCAAGTAAACATGCATAGGTTACAGAACAAAACAATGAGGGGCAACATATTATTATTATTATTATTATTATTATTATTATTATTTGCATTATTAGTCTTTTAAAAATGAAAAATAGAAATAATTTCATGAATTAATTCAGATGTAGACAAAACTAGGAAGAGTTGTGCTTCAAGTAAATAAGTTATGATATAACTAACATTTTGAAGGCAAAACTATTAGAGATCAGTTCATATTTAACATTGATCCTTATATTTTTGTCTGCATAGATGCGAACTTACCAAATGTTTTGATTTATAGCAAAACTCTCTAAAACTATATGACTTTGATCTGACTTCATTAAGGAAGTTATGCAAACTAGTCAAACAGTCTAGTTGTTTGTTGAGACTTGAAATCTGTGGAGGAGCTGTTATTGAAAGGATTTTCTGTAACTAAAAGCAGAGCACTGGTGAAGGCTCTTGACTTGGGAACACTCTTTCCCCATTGTTCCTAGAAAATAAGTTTGTTGACTTCCAGGTATGCTGTAATGCTTCTCTGTTTATTCAAGGTATTACTTCCCCCTCCATCCTAGGGGTCTAGTTTGCATTTAAGAAGATTCTGCTGACTAAATTGTGTTTGTGGTGGTGAAACTCTCTTCAGAGGTTTGCAGCATCACAATTTCCTGTTGATTCTCCTTAATAGCTATATTGGAGTACGCCAGGGAGGCCTGGTTAAGAGTAAGGCGGCAGTGTGCTTAAACCTTTTTACAAACACACTTGGAGATATAGCCCTGCCCCAGAGAGAGCAAATAAAAGACAAAGCAGGGGATAAGATGTGCATGATCACAAGGCCTCTCTGTAGGATGGATTTACAGGAAGTAGATGTGAAAAACTTAAGAGCAAGTGAGACCTTGGGCCAACCCATGTGAAAAACACTGGAATCATGAAATTATGAGTTACTTAGAAAGTTCCTACCATGAAAGCAAATGCAGGTTTTGAATATTTTTAGAAGAAATATTGTCTGTTAATTCACATTTACTTGCATTATCATGGTAAAAGTAATTTGGAGGCAAGATGGAACTCCTCCCCTCCGCTAGGAGGAGCTCAGAGAGAAGAACGTCATGGTGCACATGTAGCAATGAAAACCAGATGCCTTCACCTGCCCCACCTACAACAAAACATGTCTCTCCTGCGTTGGTCTCTACAGCCACAGCGGGTGCTGTTCTCCAAAGTCTTGACTTTACCCCCAAAGGCACACTCTTCCATTGTCTCCTGAGTTAGAAAGATGCCAACAACAACCAGATGGAACCCTTTTGGAATGGCACAGCTGCCAGTTGTCTAAGATACAATAGCCCAATAATATTTTATGGAACCATCCCCTTATGTAGGAGCCAAACCACTGCAACCTAGTGACTGCTACTGCTACAGAACTTATCCTCAGGATACTACCAATCAATGGTATCCAAAGTCACAGGTCAAGAATAAGCAACAGGGCCACACTCTTCCTGCCTTCTCCTAATAAAAGCCATCCATCAAGGTGACCAAGGGCAATATGGTCCCACAGCCAGGCCTGAACCCAGACTAGAATGTGTTCGGATAATCCGTTTCCTCCAAAAGTACTTGCAAATGAACAGCTACCATTCCCCCACCCTGGGGATATTTTGCAGCAAGCCTCCAGAGTTGACTTTTAAAGGCACAGTTGCACTACTGCTTCTTTATGGGAAATAAGTAGAACCTCTTCATGTAAAGATGCGTTTATCATGTCAGTCTCCTCCAGCTCACTTGAATTAACTGACAAGCAAGCACTAAGAAGGGAGGCAATTGCCCAGGCAGCCACAAGCACCTTGCGTCCTCAGGACTCAAAAGCGGAAACAGATCCCATAACACCAGACATGCTGGACATTTCAGCTGCATCTGTCTCAACTACAGTGTTTAAATTTACACAGAAGCAAGCAACTTTATCCTCAAAATGCCTGACAAATTTTTCTTAGCAGGCACCCAAGAAGAAGAAGAAGAAGAGGAGGAGGAGGAGTTTGGATTTGATATCCCGCTTTATCACTACCCTAAGGAGTCTCAAAGTGGCTAACAATCTTCTTTCCCTTCCTCCCCCACAACAAATACTCTGTGAGGTGAGTGAAGCTGAGAGACTTCAGAAAAGTGTGACTAGCTCGAGGTCACCCAGCAGCTGCATGTGGAGAAGTGGGGAAGCGAACCTGGTTCACCAGATTACGAGTCCACCACTCTTAACCACTACACCATGCTGGCTCCAGACTCCCCATTCAGAGGGGCAGATATTAATAAACCCCACACTACTTGGAAAAGCACTGTTGGGCAGTTAATTGAGGATGTAATGGAGGTGAAAAAGAACAATTTATTTGCTGCCCTCAACACCATACAGTAGGCACAGTCATGCACTCTAAAGTCAGCTTGGTCACCTTCCCAACAAATTTTGTGCCATATTGCTGCAGTTGTCATCTAGCCTGTTTCATCATCTAGAGTACCGCAGGGAAACCAAGGAACAGCATGGGCATCACCATTGCTGAGGACTCTTAGGAGGAACCATGTTGATTGCCCTCTGCATCTCACCATTGCATAGTGAGCCTGGGGCCTCAACAGAATTGCCAGTTCTGTTCACCAGAATTTTGCCAGCTATGTCTTATAATGTTTCTGCAGCATTGTGACCTGGCGACAATTGCCAAGAAGCAGCGAGGGTCCTGAATTTTACAAATTGACTTTAACTAACCAGCTAATTCTTTGCAAACTGGGTTCTAGTTCCGCATGTATTCACATATTTAACTAATTTGTTTCTAATTACACATATTTTACCCACGTGTCTAGCATGGGATAATATGATTAGCCTTTTAAAAAATCATTATAATAACTACATTTCATTCTTAGGCTGTAGTGGCTGACTATAGAAAGAAGTCCCAAGTTAATTATTTACATTTTTTGAAGAGCCTGGGTGAATAATACTTCCTAATCCTGGTATCTGTTACTGCTTAAACTACTCTGAAATCTCTTCTAGGGACTCTTATCTCAAGACAGTAAATCAGATTTCTCACACTATGCAAATAATTCAGTTGCAATACAGGGCAATCCAATATATTGTGGAGCCTTCATAACCTCTGTTTGTTCTCATAGAGTGGAATCAAGGTTGTGTAATAGCCAAGACAGGTGTATGGTGCCCAAATTTTGAACAGTGGCCTCTTAATTTTAGTTACAAAATGCTGTTCCTTTACACCGATCTTGAGAACATTAACTTGCCATTTGCATCTAAGACTATGAATGAACCATTATCAGAGACTAGTTTTATAGACTTGTTTCTTCTAGAACCTCTAATTAAGGCATGTGAAATAATTAAGATTGTTGCCTTCTGTATCAGTAATTTCTTCTACAATTAAATTTTCACTTATGTTTTTAATAACTTCCTTCCCTGCTTACAATGCTAATGACTAATTAGCCCCAGATTCGTTTCGTTTCAGTGCAATAAACAAGTAATGCCACAGTTTATTATTTTTTTCTAATAAAGAGCAGAAGTGGAGCACCCCTGAATGCAATAAATGCAAATAAAGTCTGAATAGCCTAAAACTTAATGAGAAAAACTGATTTGGACTTGTCTTTTGATTTGCAAACGCTCTGCTTCTGAGAGTGGGTTTAGCTTAGCAGTTAGAGGACCATGTAGGAGCCAGGAATTAAATGGTTAAAATCTCAGTTCAGCCTGAGCAAACTGGGTTGCCTTAGGCCAGCAAGTTTGCCATCCCAAGCCCTGTCCCCATGTTCACTCTCTAATCAGGGGATAATACAGACCAATTTTACAGGGAGGACACTGGGCCCAACTAGATGATCTGATGGTGGCAGCCTCATCTCTTACACAATTGGGTTGGCACTAATTCCCTATTAAGTAAAACACAGAAGATTTAAAAGGCCACATAGGCTGAAACCTCCTCCCACTGTACTCTCACATTCAGAAGCATTTCCTCCCAGCCATTTTTCTCCCTGTGAGGCAACATAACAACTGCTGAGAGTTGGGTAGATGGGAAGCATGTGCAAAGGAAGGGTTCGGTTCTTCGCTTCATCTGGTCACGCTAGGTAAATGTAAAGGTACCCCTGACCGTTAGGCCAGTCGTGGACGACTCTGGGGTTGCGTGCTCATCTCGCTCTGTAGGTCAAGGGAGCTGGCGTTTGTCTACAGACAGCTTCCAGGTCATGTGGTCAGCATGACAGCCACTTCTGGCGAAACCAGAGCAGTGCACGGAATGCCGTTTACCTTTCCGCTGGAGCGGTACCTATTTATCTACTTGTGCTTGATGTGCTTTCAAACTGCTAGGTGAGCAGGAGCTGGGACCGAACAATGGGAGCTCACTGCATTGCGGGGATTCGAACTGCCAACCTTCCGATCAGCAAGCCCTATGCTCTGTGGTTTAGACCACAATTTCTTTCCCCTTAGAATCATAGAACTCCTCTTAGTCTCCTCTTTAACAGGCTAAACAGACTCAATTCCCCAAAAGGCTTGGTTTCCAAACCCTTTATCACCTTGGTCACCCTCCTCTGCACACATTCCAGATTGTCAATATCCTTAAATTGTGGCTCCCAGAACTGTGGCACAGTACTCCAGGTGCAGTCTGACCAAGGCAGAATAGGGTGGTAGTATTACTTCTCTTGACCTAGACATTATCCTTCTGTGGATGCAGCCTAGTATGGCATAAGCTTTTTTTTTTTGCTGCTGCATCACACTGTTGACTCATGTTAAGCTTGTGGTCTACTAAGACCCCTAGATCCTTTTCACATATACTACTGACAACCCAGGTACACTCTCATCTTCCTGCCTAAATGTAGCACCTTATATTTGTTCCTATTGAAATTCATTTTGTTAGTTTGTAATTTAATTCTGTATGCATTTTAATTTAAGGTTAAAAAGAGCAATTATTATTATTATTTCAGTATTTGAATTTATAAACAGAAGGAAATGGTAGACCTGTCAATATAGGGCATCCAAATGCATGAAATTATTGTAGACTGTAAAATCTATGCTGCGTGCCTTCACAGTTAAATGAATGTGTAAAACATTACTTTTTATTGCTCAGAAAACATGTATCAATATGATATTAATAAGTATGCATTGATTTTTGCTGAGGAGAGCACAAGATTTATGAAAGCAAGTACTATTGCATGGCAAAAAATTAGAAGAGGGCTTTGCGTCCAATCAATAAAATAGTATTCCTTCGAGATCCAGAGACAACTTCCCCTAACCAATGAAATACTCCCACCTGGAA